TCTCCCATGAAATTTCTCGTACATTCAGACTGGTAAATGTAGTTAATACTGTTAAATATAAACAGTGTATAAAAATAACACACACACACACACACACACACACACACACACACACACACACACACATATATATATATATATATATATATATATATATATATATATATATATTCCTTTGCCAGTAGTACAGTGCTGAGTTTCATGCACAATGTAATCGTCAGGTGCTGATTGAAGACTTTTCGATCAGCACCTGACGACTGTAAAATGTATATTTATTATAAATATAAATTATAGTTCTGTTATTTTGCAGCGACAGCACTCAATGAATAGACAGTGAAGACAGAAAAGTGGCCAAGGTACATACATTCCCAGCTAAGTTAAGAAAAGAAGAAACTAAGGATAAAATAAACCCAAACTCTCCTATTTTGTGTGGGTTTGCCTATGTTCAACACAGAGTTTCCAATGTCCTGATGCCTAACCGGCATCAAAATGCCACTTCAACTCAGCTCCTTTCACTTGACGCAGTCATGCAAGACTCAGCCACTTTTGCCAAATTTTGAGGGAGGGATTTGTCGCCTTTCCGCCCTAAAGTGTAAGATTAGTTGAAAGAGTTAAACTTCTCGTCCCCGTAGAATTCCTTCTGTCGCGTCGTCCGTATCACGACTCTCATAACTCCTAGCAAACAAAAGAACACATAGTGTTCAGCCTTAGTCAACGGCGGTATCATCTTGATACAAACAGGACTGGCCTCGTGGACAAAGAACTTTCCGCGTAGCGTACGAAGCATGATATCTTCAATAAACTTACACAACGCGACTACGACCCTGTAGTGGAAGATGTGACCCAGGATCTCCACCGACTCCCCAGAACGAACGCAGTTTGGAGATTTTTCCAAGCCCACAGAAAAAAGTAATTTGCTGACCCAGAGGGCCTTTTGTATCCCCAGCCAGGTGAATGATGCCTCATCATTGGTGAGGTATTTTGAACCCGGACGCCCAAGGCCATATGGAACGAGCCTCCTGCTTCGTATGACCGAGCTCGCCAATGAGATCATCTTGAACGGACTTCCTAACACGTGATATAATGCCTTACGTGACAACGCCTGGATGTCGGAGAGGCCATCTGTCGCCCTTAAGTGATGCTTGAGAGCAATCCGACATTCACGATAAAAGGACCACTTGCCTCGGAGTAACTGTGAGCCTCCCCCACGTACGAGTGCACACTTCTCAAGGATGGTAAGTTCATACGAGTATCTTCCTTCCAGAATTCACCCTCATCATCCGCATTTGTGATGCGAAGTGTATATTGATGAATTTCGACGCTAGGCATACCCAGACCGCCTTCAGAAGGGTGGAGGTAACAAATCTCCCGAACTACCTTGGGAGCATTGCCTCCCTACAAGGAGAACATGACCCTAACTAAACCCATTATGACGGGAGTGGAAATATGGAGAGTCTTTAAGTAAAGATTCCTCCGAGACCACAGACGAATTGCGACCTCGCCCTTCTCTCGCACCTCCGACCAATTCATTTCCAAGAGGAGATCGAGACTGAACTAGACGCCAAGTATCTTGACCGGCCCGTCCGTCCAAAGGAAACGCCCGGGAAAAGAAAATCCCTTCCACGCGCCCAACTGCAAGCCAACAGACCTATGTTGATCTTGGCCCATATCACCGTCTCGTACCATTTGGTATCTCTGCCGACTTCCTCAATCTCGGCTCTGTTCGATACAAGAACCGAAACGACGTCAGCATAGGTAAAGAACCTGGCTGAACTGGTAGAACCTTGTAAGACTGGATTTATCTTTAACTTGCGAAGGAAAGGCTTCTACGCAATAGCATACATCAAAGGTGAAAGCGGACAACGTGGACAAATGGAGCGAGACAATACGAAAGGCACCGATCGAACCCTATTCACTTCCATTAGCGCACCGAGGGACATATATAGAAGTCGGATCCAGCTGGGAAAGTACGGCCCAAATCCAGAGCTGGAAAAGACAGCCTCCAGAAATCGACGGTCAACCCTATCGAATGCCTTGAACTGATATATGATCAAGCGTACCAAATGAAGGTTGATCTGAATAGTCCCGCCCCTCACAGCACAAGTCTGTTCGGAACTAATTAGACTAGAGAGGACATTCGACAAACGGTTGACTAAGATCTTGGCTAAAATCTTTTGTGTTTAAGATAGTTAAAAGGTCGAAAGATACTTATCCCATCCTCACTGTTTTTGTCCTTGCGCAGTAACTTGACCAGATCTTTAGTGAAGCGTTGCGGTATCGACACTGCTTCAACCAGTTGTAAATCAGTACTAGCAAAGGAACAAAGACGGGCGACTGCTTCGAATACGGTTCGTAGTATAGACCGTTTCATCCTGGAGATTTGTCTCGGCCAACCAGCTTCAGCGCTTCCCAGATTTCCGATTCTGTAATGGGACCCTTGCACACAGCTACTTCAGCCGCATCGAGGCGGGGAAAATCGGCCAAATAGGCTTAGGGAACGTTAATTTTAAAGGTCTTTAAAGGGAAGGGTCTACAAGAAGCCAGAGTCTCCTTGAACAAAATTGATTGAATTTTTTTGACATTATCTTTGTCAAAGAAAGGCAATGGTGGGCTGCGTTAATGTTTTTGCTTTTCCGATTTCTTGGGTGAGTTCATGGATGTATGTGAAGGTGGTAGATTCGGAGTAGATACATGTGTCATCATATTTTTTGTTGTGGATGTTGTAGTAGAAACTTTTTTGAGAGTGTTCATTTTAGTTGACGATGGAGTTAATGATTTAGTCATGGGAGGATGGAGCCATTGTTTATTTTTTTTTTTGAATGATCTGGAAGACGGTGCCGAGTAAGAAGAGACAGTTTTCTCACTGATTTTTCTTGGTTTCATTTCGCTTTTAGAGATTCCTTCAATTGCTCGAGCTTTTCAAAACTCGACTCGTACTTGAGTTGTCGTTGTCTAATTCTTAGCTGGCCGGAGAATCGCCCCTGTGACTGGTAGAGGGAGTGGGGTTGTTTGTGCATTTACTCGTGGGAACTTCCGTGGACAGAGGTCCCACTGTCTGGAGCTTCCAACGATCTCTCATTTCACTTTTTCTTCTCCACAACTGCACAAGCAGCGAGCAAATACTTTTCGAGGAATGGGGGCTACGAAATGAACCTACCCGTGGTTTTTTTCCGCACCGTTACTGGTCGCTGGCATGCCCATTACAAGCGAGACGGAAATAACAGGCTCGACCAAAGGGGAATTTGGATCTGCGAGGGAAAGAACTCCAGAGGCCTTCTTCTTTGGGCAGGAAGAGGAGAGGTGACCAGCCTCTCTACACTCCCAGCAGGTTGGTTTATGATCAGTCACAATGACCAGCATTTTTTTGACTTATACATCAAGAGAAGTGGGGACGGAGATGAAGCAATCTAACATTAATTCAAAGCTCCAACCCCTGTTCTGATCGACGGACGAATCATTGAGTATCTGTCCAAATCGAGCCAGATAAGCAGCCAAATGCTCCCTTAAGAACTGAGGAGGGACCTCGAATACTGAAATATTTTTTTCCTTTCTATATATTTTTTCTTTCAAAGCAAAAAGGGACTTCTCCTTTTTAAATAACAAGGTAAACGGAAAAGAAAAAGCAACTACAAAATAAAGATACAAATTAAACAAAATTCTTTCGAGAAAGAGAACAAAAAAATGCAATCTAGAACAGAAAGACAGACAAAAAAGGTTCGTTGGTAAAAGAATAAATCTAATTTAAAAAAATAAATAAATCAACGTAGTAAAAATAAACCTTAAAATTACAAATGAAAACAAAATTGATTCTTCAAAGAGAGGGAGAAATTAAACAATGGAAACGAGACCAATAAAATCAGAATGACAGACAAAAAACTGGTTTAACGAAAAAAAGGATCGTCGTTAAAACAATAAATCAACGTAGAAAGCTTTTATCTTAAAAAAATAGTAAAACAGCAAATCAAAACAAAATAGTGTCAAAGACACGTATGAAATATATAAAAAAATTACAAAAATACGAAGTAACTAGGAGAAAAATAATCAAATTACACTAAGAAAAGAGTTTGGTGGTAGGAGTTTACGAATAAAGGTTTGTGTTTCTTAAAACAAAACGGATGAAGTAACACGTAAAAGATTAAACCAAAAAATAAGCGATAATTAAATGCAAACGAAAGCTCGACAGGAGTTAAAAAACACGAGTAGAAAAATATAAGTGACGAACAAGATAGAATATGTAATACGAAAAAGATTAAGCAAAATGATTAAACAAAAAGATTAAGAAAAACTGCAAAAAAAATAATGTTAAAAACAAGAAATTTAGCTTATATTGTGTGTTAAAAATAAAGGAAAAAATAAAATTGAAACAATTTACAGGAAAAAGAAAGTTAAATCTATAAACTAAAATTAAATTTAAAAAAAATATGACTTATGAGAGTAAAAAGAAAATTAAAAAAACTCTCACAAAATTAGAAAAAAAATAAAAACGTAAGGAAAATTAAACGCAAACTTAACTTTGTTGGCAAAAATAAAAATGCGGCAAAATCATGTCTGGCGGGTGGTGAGACATCAACTGGTTTGTAAAAAACGATTATTACTATAGAGGAACGTTCATCAGAAAAATTAGCATGAAGGTATTCAAAAAAGGCATAGGGAAACTAGGTTACGGCGGTGGGAACGTAACTGAAGACGAGATGCCAGGTCAGGACGAATAACATTGCAGATTCTTCTTTGGATTTTATTTTAATCAAGAATCTCTAAATATATGGCAAGAACACCATACCAGATGTGGAAGTTATATTTAAAGCAAAGAGGAATGGTAGACGGATAAATAATTTAGATTCTGTCGGGAAAAATTGTCACGACATGCAGACTATTTTCTTCATTTTTCTTGTTATTACAACTCTTCGTCATCATAGCTTTTTTTTTCGGTTTAACTTACTTCGAGTTAGTAGGGGTTTATTTCCAACAATAGTTGCGTCTTATTTTGTTTCCTGACTTACCTGTCTGATATCAATCTCTTTTGGTACTGTTCCATGAATATCAAACCGCCATTTTTTCTGACTGAGAATAAAAGAAAAATCAGGAAAAATGTTGTATATCACAAATTCAAACACATCGGTATTTACCTAAATACAGTTACAGGTAAATGATGCCGAAGACAACAGCTTTCATTCAGTCTAACCTATTAATTCGATAATGAAAGCTTCGGTACACCAAATATAGTGGACAATTTTTTTTAACGAGGATAAAGAGTCAATAACTAGTGTTTGCTAACTTTCTTTGTTAACATATCGACCATTAACTCAACGGCCTATCATTGGAGAACTTTCGTGACAGAAAAGTTATCTGGTAGACGTCAATAAGAGAAGTGGTATTCCTGACGCATGGGTAGACACAGCACTTTCTAGATGACATGCTGGGCTTGTGAGTAAAGACAACATTTGTAACATGCGCTAGCTTTCCTTTCAGGGTCAGAGAGAAAGCATGTAGCACATTTCTACACATTATTATCACTTTTTTCTTTCTAGAATATAAAAACTTCATTTAGGTTCTTCCGACTTACCCCCAACCGTCTTTATTTATTATTATTATTATTATTGTTGTTGTTGTTGTTGTTGGTTAAATGTCTATACCGACGGCAGATTTTATCAAAGTCATCCAACATATATTTGATGACCCAACATTAGTATGGTTAGTTGTATTCTCACTGGAAGCTCGATTTCTGTGGCCTTGTACAAGATAGCTAATGTGCGCTTTCGCTGTTCAGTGGGTATTAAACTCATTTCGTAGACCAGTTTAATGCGTTCTCTTTTCACTGGATGCTCGACTATCATGGCCTTGTGCCATAAAAACTAAATTTAGTAAACACACAGATATAAATAATATACGCACATTATTGGCCAGATAAAATCGTACGAGGTAAAATCACTGTTTTTGTATATATTTTCTTTGCAATTTTGAATATTGTCAAAACAAGATAACTAGAATTACCTCCCTGGCTTATTTATTTAAAGAATAATGTATCAAAAGAATAAGAACGTAAAATATGTTGTCATTCTCATAGTATATTTAGCATTGATTTAATATTAAAAAAATATTCAAGATATATATTTATATTAAAAAATGGATAAGGTAACAATTTATTTATTAAAGAATTTTCGGGTTTTAGATCATAATTTAAAGATACAAGTATTAAACAATATATTAAGAAATTTGCTTAAAATTTTATCTATAAAATAACAACGTTAAACATAAAATTATGTCTTTAATAAATAAATTGTCGGACCTTGTCCATTTATATATATATATACGTCATTTGTTTATTTATATAGATAGTTATGAATGTACGAGATTCATGGAAAGTTAAAGTTTATAAGCAGTAAAATCGACCTTGTTTATCGATTGAGTTCATTTAAGCTGGAGCGGTAAGGCATAGCGTATATGAAATAGGATGCAGGTTCGAATCCTGTCAAAGAACGAAAATTTTCTATGAAAATTTCTCGGACATTCAGGCCGGTAAATGTTATTTAATACTGTTTATCATAAACAGAGCATTAATATTAAATACTTGTATCTATAAAATAACAACGTTAAACATAAAAATATGTCTTTAAAAATATATATATATCAACTTAGCTCATTTCATAATTTTACGTTAAGATACGCTTCGGGCAGATATGGGGGACGTGGGAAATTTGTTGTTTAAGTACAGTAATTTAAACTTTGCTAACTAGACGCTTCCTCCGAAGCACATCATATGAAATGACGGTTCCGTATAGAACACACGTTCGATTATGTCAAATGACACATATTTTTCGGACATTCAGGCCGATAAATGTAATTAATACTGTTTATTATAAACAGAGCATTTACTTAATAATTGTATCTATAAAATAATGTATAAACAAAAATATATTAAAGAAGTTTCTATATATATATATATATATATATATATATATTAACAAAAAAAATAATATGAAACTATCAAAATTAACACACTAAGTGTATAATATTTATGCAAATAAAAAGTGTACAAAGTAAGAGTAAAATATGAAATTATAAAAGTGTACTTGCTAAGTCTATAATATTTATGTAAATAAAGGTGAATATGATAAATGTTTATGTAATTATGAAAATATATATAGTAAATGTTTTTAAGTATACTAATGTACGGAGTAAATGTACATAAGGTTTATGTAAACAAAAGTAACCGGAAAAGTGTATATAGTAAGTGTTAACAGGTTTTACGTAAATAAAAGTAAACTTTGTGTAAAATATAAAATTAAAAAAAAAAAAACACACACACACACACACACACATATATATATATATATATATATTATTATTATAATTTTATATGTTTTTTTTTTCTTCCCACTCAACTCAATTCTAGTATATTTGCATATTTTATCACACAAAAATATTTCTAAAATATAACATATATTAAAAAATCACGAGTAATGCTAACTTTAAATTAGTTGGCATTTACAGAGTAGTCTCCCTTTATTTGCTCAGAAACAATATTAATAAATTTGGCAATCTTGGTCTTTCATTCCCGCAAAAAACAGAGTGTTAAAAACGAATTCCAACATTACACCGAATTTATTTTAACTATCTTTACTCCTCAGAAGTGTTTATTGTTTCAAAAAATGATGGTTGAAATTGTAAAAAAATCTAAACCTAATGAAAGTGAATTTATACATTTCTTTACTGTTGAGAATTAATAAGAAAATATAATAAACACTATTCATTAGATGTTTATTTAAGCTAATTTAAACTTATTCTGGTCGTAACTTCAATCCAATGCGGTTCTTTACAAAATGCCAACTTGAGTTCTTATCTCCCACCTCCTCTCGCCCTGTCTCTCAACTTAATACAGCTAATTTGTAGGGATATTAAAGGTTGTAGTTTGAATAGTACTATGGCATCAAAACACTAAATCCAGTGGTAAATCAAAGAGTAATATTATTTGGATAAATACTTTATTTAAATAAACTCATTTATTCACAAAAAAAAAAAATACATTTACCATCAGCTTTATCTTGTATAGTTTTAATGGGATCCCTGTGACTGGTGCAGGGCTGCCAAATTGTCAATGTTTGGCTTGAAAGCCGTCAGAGATTTTAAACGCCTTTTTTTTTTTTTCTATCTCAAGGCGATTTCGAGTCTTTGGCAGCGGATGCATCATCCAACTGAAATCAAGTAAGATGTGGGAAAAGTGATAAGAACAACTCCTCATCTTTCCAAAAAGTGCGTAATTATTTCTGTCTTCATTTCTCTACAGCTTCTAGTATCCTCCATGCTTGAACATCCGTTGAGCTGCTGTGTTATTTTGAAGTTCAATGAAACTTTTGTAGGATGATCAGCAATGAAAGGATTCACAAACCAGTGTGGCACTGTCATTTGGAGTAGATCAGAGAAGCGAGTTTTCATTTTATGCGACTGCTTCAAATGATCAACATACACTGCTAATTTATTATTAAGCAGCTTGGTGGATATATTTGCTTAGGAAGGAAACTGTGCAAACTCCCGTCTCCCGAGGTTCAACCAGAACAGCTTTAGTTTCTCGTTAAATGCGTTAATTTAGGTACCTCCACGAAATTGCTACAAAAAATATATAGCATGTAAAAAAACGATGTAATAAATTTTTATCGGCTTAAATATATATATCATTCTTAAGAAGAAAAACAAAAAAGTATTTTTTTGATTATTTAAAAAATTTTTACTCATTCTTATCAGGTCCGAAATTTTATTTAAAAATGTTGTTTATTTTTTGTCATCAAAATTACTTAAAAAATGTAGCTATAGTGTTTAATATTTTTTTCTAATTTTGTAAACAAGAACAAAAATCTCGTTTATTTTTGGTATAATTATACCAAAAAATCAATTCTACGTTTTTCAAAATTTATTTGACTAAAATTAGCAAATTTAAAGATTAGTTAAAATATTTTGAAAGAAGCTTTTACTTAATTTTTTCGAATAAAAAATTGTTCGAAATAAAAAAGTAAGCGATCTGAACTATGTTGTCATTTTCGAGTGACAAGTGATAGCTGTCATCACATATCGACAGCTAACGTGAGATTCGCGTTATCATACAGATGGTCATACGTGACGTAACGTTTTTTTGTTTTTGTGTGAATCAGCTTATGTACTACCCCGTAATTAGTAGATAAAAAAAACAAAAAATTAGCATTCCAATTTCCTTTATTTTGTTATTTTATTATTACTGGAACTTAAAACATAACTTTTGTTGATACTATCTATTGTTACGAGGATGCATTTCTATAATAAGGGATTCCTTTGAGTTCTACTTGTTATTACAAAAAAGTTTTCATGAAGTAGTTGTAAAATAGAGAAATTAGAAATAGAATGTTTGGAAGATTCTAGATCATTCTAGTATATTCGAGAAAAATCTAGAAATATGTAAATTAGGTGTTAGCCCCTATAAAAATGGGATTTTGGAAAAGGGTTGTCAACTCCGGCTTTTGATTCAAGGACTATTATATCCAGCCGAAAGAATCTCTATAAAAAGTTGCCGACCAACCAAAACCCAAAAGAGAATTTCATGGAACAAAGTTGGTAAATAGAATTTTGACTAATTTTCATTGACCAAACTAAAAATTAATATTTATTTACACACCTTTGTGGATTTCCAAATATAGCACTTAGATTACTTCACTAGCCCTAAAGTGATAAAGATATTTGATTCCCTTTCCTTCTTCCTCGTAACACTCCGCCAGTAACTCTTTGTTTTCTGTTTTGTAGGCTACAATTGTTTATCCTGTATATGTTTTGTTCTGTTTTAGTAAATTAAATATTTGTTTGTGATTTAGCTCTGTGTTGTGGTAAATCATTTTTTTTTCCTTTGTTACAATTATCAACACGTAACACTATAAAGATAATAAATACTATAAATAATGAAATCTACGCTTACACTCAAGCCACGTGACGTTTTATAGCTTGTGACCTTCTGTACTTTTTAATGACAAACCATTTAAGCGCTTTTTATCAAAACATAATTACATTTTTTCATAAGTGGGGATCATCGGATGGGTCCAAATTATACAATTAAAAAATCTATTTAGACAATGACGAGCTAAGAATGAGAAGTACAAAGGTTGATGGTGCTGTTATTTATTTTTATAATTTTTTTAAAAATTTAATGAAAAAGTGTTAAAATTTCGATTTAAAATTAAAGAAATGAGAAATAATTGTATTAAAAATTCAATTTTCATTGAAAAAATTTTTTGCTTTCAGAAAATATTGTCCATATTCATACGAACAAATAAAAACAAATAAAAGCGTTTGAGATTAAATAGTATATTTGTTTTTATTGAGTTTTGTTACTTTTGTATGTTACAATTCAGAGCTGATTTTCAGGTACTGAGTTTCTTAAAAAAAAAAAAATATGATTTACATTCTTCAAAGCCTTGTGCTTTAAATATTGTAATCACTAAAAAACCGATGGTATGGAATTTTTTGAGTTTTTTTCATAAAATTAGATATGGGGTGTTAATAAAAAGAAAAAAAAATATTTCTGCCATGAGTTTAATAAAAAAAACATATTCATAATAATTTCGATCATTTGTGAATATTTTCTGAAAGTTTCATTAACATCTGACAATTATTTTTATTTTTACAAGATTTTCCAAATTAATAGGTATAATACCAAAAAACGCGCTAAAAATTATCTATGTTATTTACCTCCTTTGTTGCGACAAAGATAAACAAGGTTTTTTAAATCAAAATTTAGAATATTCTAAAATATGGAAAAATTTTGAAAAATAAAAAAAAAAATTTGGTCTATCCTCTTCATAAAAACATAAGCATTTTGACGATAAAATTTTTGTTTTCGTAAATTTTGGCGTATTTTTCATCAGACTATTCTCTATTTTTTCGCAATTTCGTGGAGGTACCTACGTTAATTGCCTTTCAAGAAAAACAGTATTTGAATTGGTGAGACTAAAGAATGAAGCTGATCTGAACATTTGCCATGGAAATAGTGATAGAGTAGCGAAAGTTTTGCAACGTTGGATTCGTGAGAAAGAGGCTGCTTGGGGATTATAGAATAATTCTTCCTAAGCAAGAGGATTTAAATGATTCTGAACTTTTTCAAGGTTGGAAAATGTGGATTAATCAGCTCCGTCCCAAATACGACAAGAATATTTAAATTCTTTGGCTTCACCTGATTCTCGTAAAAATAAAAGATCATTGAAGGAGTCAATTACTTATTGCAGCGACAGAACGCACTGACCATTTTCTAGCGTCTTTAGCAGGGAATCGTAAATACGAACAGGCAGTACAGAAAAATAAATAAAGAAAAAACAAAGAAAATTGACTCACGAGTTGATAGCCATTAAAAAGAGATTGTGAAACGCCACTAATTTGTACACCGGATGTGACGCAGACACGTTCCGGAAGAAGCTAAGGATGATATTCTGCATCAAAAAATGATTCCAACCTTTGAATAATTTTGAAAAGAAAGAAAAACATTGTATCAAGATCTTATTTTATTGTCGGGGTCGATTCCAGTGTCGTTTTTTACAATTACATCTTTCATTGATGAGACAATTTTCAATCTTGCTTGAATTTTATATCATCAAAGGCAACAAAGATTCAAACTTGCCTAGTTTTTATGACAGAAAAATCAAAGGAACTATACGTTATTCAGAAATCAACAATTATCCTAAATGAAAACTTTAGCTATCAAACATGTAGATATTGATGGCCGGTGGGAACATAATGGAACTGCGCGTCGTGATGCATAGAATGTGGGGTTTAAAACATTCACAAATGGAAAATGAACCGCAAATGATTTTATCATCATCTGTAGGCAGGAAGACCTGGTTACGAACAGAAGATGTACGTTTATCGACAAAAGAATAAATGATCGACGGTAGCACGCATTTCCTCTCACTTCATCTGTCTTTACTATTTACGCCTATTATTTAATGACAATTAAGAGTAGCCTCTGAATTGTCTTCGTCTTATAAGGGGAAACAATACTGGTGCACACGCTGAGGATTAAACAATTTGGCAATTTGATGCAAATCTAAATTGTTAGCCCTCTGGACTGAGTTGATTTGTTATACTTGTACCTTCTCGGACATATGAAAACAGATGGATACAGAAAAAGTTTCAAGTTGAATACTAATTAATATTTATAACATGTGGCCGAGTGGTTAAAACATTAGGATTCCGATCATAGGACTAGGGTTCGAATCTCATGATCGATTTGTCAAATAGGTGATTTTTGATAATATCAGCGTGAGAAAACAGAACCAGCTTGCGGCGACTTACGGCCATATCGCGCTGAAACGCCGGTTACCATATGATCACCGAATTTAGGCAAATTTGAGCCACGTATGTACCTAGATGGGTGATCGCTTGAGAAAACCAGGTGATGTAAGCTTTGATGTGCGAGTGGTATAATGGATAGTAGTCCTTAATAATTATTACTATTTTATTTCCTTTGATTTCTGGTATGTACTCATTTTTCCGGGTCCCGACTAGGGACCTAAGATCAGAAATGGCGTCATGACATTTTCCACTGAGCAATTAAAAAAAAAAACACATATTTTACATAGATAAAGCCCCTCGTAAGGTGAGGGCTGTATTCTTCTTCTTCTTCTTCTTCTTCTTCTTATTCTTCTTCTTCTTATTATTATTATTATTATTATATATGATATTTATTCTGTCTACAAATTTCGTAATATGGTGTCATGGTCACTATCAGTTCCATGACTGGGTGTGGTCGTAGGTCCACTGGGAAGTTGAGCACTTGACCAACTCTTCCCATATGTCTCGGTTGCCAATATCTGGGTCTCTGTGAATGATTTTCCTGTTTACTCAGGCTTACGGCCACATCAAGTTAAAACACTGGTTCCCGTACGAGCACCGAAGTTAAGCAACGTTAAGCCTGGTCAGTACCTAGAATGCCTGGAATACCAGGAGCTGTAAGCGTCAATTTGCGGCTGGTGTAATGGATAATAGCTCAGAATTGGAAATCGGAGAGTCGAGTTCCAAATCCCGTTGGGTTTGTTATACTGACTTACGCGCAAATACACCTGGAAAGGTGTGAATCCACCTTTTCTCCCCTCCTCGCCAGCTATAAGCAAAACTTGTATAACTAAAACATTATTATCTAAAAAATCAATTCTGGCTTTAAATAACCCGTAATGGGTTGATAAACCATAAAAAAACAAACCAATCTGTCTACTGAGTGACATTATCAGCCCATTTTTCTCTCTGTTCTTTTTTTTTCATTTGCCTAAGGTAGCGCCATGGTAATGAAAAGATTATTATCTCTCATGGTGTTTTTATACCATTTCAATTACTTTAACCGTAAATTGACAGACTATAAATTGTTTTTTGGTCATTTCAGGTTCATGTCTATGTTGTATATCGACTTTATTCTTTTATCACATTTCGTTTGATACGTAAAATAATCTTCAATAAACCAGTGTTAACAAAAGAAAACGATGTTATCGATAAAGATTAAATGTTTCACGTATTTCACTTACCGGATTATTGGGCCCTTTCTCTTGTTTTAGTTGAATAGCAATCGGTATCAACCTGTCCATCAAATCAAGCGTAAACAAGGCGATCGGGGCACAAACCTGACGTCAAAATGAACATTAAAAAAAAATGTTTCAAAATGAAGGTGGATCTGCTTTGGATAAGAAATTGTTAGTGATTATTTTAAATCAGAATTTGAATAATAATGATAAAAACATAAACTCGATTGCATCACGTGTCCCGGTTCTAAATGCATAACACTAAATATAAAAGAATATGTTGCACCAACCTCAAATCCTTCGGTGAGTTCTAAACCATCTAATTCCTTTAAATCAATGTAAAATAAACGTTTTCTTTTTATTAAGGACTGGAGGGTATCGCCTTGCAGTACAGGTAACATAATTCTGTCATCCACAGCCAAACTGTAAAAACAAGAAATGGAAGATTATTTTTTTACCAGGCGTTATGTTTAAAAATTACATACAAGTGAATGGAATGCAACTGAAACGTACGTAACATGATGGGTTCCGTCTCATCTTGAAATATTCTGTTAATTGATTAGTTAGAAAAAGCAATTAATCGAAAAATTTTGTATAAATCTTATGTAACTTTCCTGTCATTTTATTCATTCTCCCAGTGGGTTTAGACGTTAGTAGTTTGCATATGTAATTATCTTCATCCGTTTTGAGGGTTGAAATATCAGCGAATTCTGGATATTTTTCAGTAGAAGAGTGTATACACCCAAAGTGTTATCAAATAAAGCAATAATAATAATAATAATAATAATAATAATAATAATAATACCAGTAACAATTTTATGGGACTTTACAATACACAGAGACAGAAAAATTAAAGCTAATCGCCCAGGCCATAAGAACAGAATGTATTTTCTTATTGACATAGCGGTCGCTGCAGATTGTAATGTATCTTTGAAGATCTTCAAAAAAACTATCAAAATACAAGGATCTTGAAGTGGAAATCCCCAAAATACAGCACATAATACCATATCCATAATACCAGTTGTAGTTGGAGCCCACCGTTTGATTGGGAAAGGTTCCGATAGATTCATTGAATGGATTCCTTGAAGAAATACAAACAATTGTACTCACAAGTACAGTTCATATATTACGAAGAGTTTTATCTATGTAAAATGTATGTGATCTTAGGGGTTTTTTGTTTTGCTTTTTTTTTTACAAAAGTGATCAGTGGAAAATGTCATGAAGCCATTTTTGACCTTAGGTCGGGACTCGGAAGGAAATGTTTATAAAAAATAATAATAATAATAATAATAATAATAATAAGAAGAAGAAGAAGAAGAAGAAATATTCAGTATATTCAATGAAAGATATGTTAATATTACAGGATGCCAAATGCTATGAACATCACTTCAAACTCGTATAAAAAGTCATGAATTCACTATACTGTGGGTATTTACAATTTATACTGACAGTCATATAAAAGCTAATAGACCAGACAAAGATTAAAGTCCCCCAAAACTTCTTAGATGTATGGCAGTGACATCGGATAAAAATATATCTCTTAAAGAATATGAAAAATAAGTAAATATAAAAATCTTGTAATTTGAAAAATGTTGCAGTTTAAAAGTACGGTCATAACCTATAATTAGGTACTCCCTACCCGAAAAAAAAAAAAAAATTAAATAAATAAATAAAATAAAATAAAAAGCGATACCTAAAGTTTAAAATGTATTTTAAAAATGAAATCTTTCTTGAATCTTTTATTTTAGTTTAAATTCCAAACTAATTGATTAAATTGAATATTTACAATAAGCAAGAGACTTTGCTATATTTCAAACCGAATTTAAATCGATTCGAATGATTATTTAAATGGTTAAAATCGACTATATTTACAAATCTGTCAACACATGATTCCCGTTATTAAAAAATCTTTCAAAAATAAAATATACTTTTCTGAAACTTCATTTGAAGAAGATTAACTCATTTAAAATTTAATTAAACATTCTATTTGTTTAGTATTATGTAATATGTAACAAATAGATTCAACCTCTCTCGCTATCTAGATTTCTAACAAGATAGCCTAGCAGATCATAATAAGAGTAGTGAATTCGATCCTCACGAAGTGCTCTATGCATTGAGCCTTGTGCCAGATTATGCTAATCTTTGTAAATAGCTAAAAATACCTCGCCGCGAGATTATAGTCTAGCATATTATTACGGCTGTATAGTGAATTCGTCCTATCTTTAGTTGCTTGCTGCCACAATAGTAGCCTTGTGCCAGACTAAGCTAAGTTCATTAAGTAGCTATATATCGTCTATATATAATTTGCCATAAAAGCAAAGCGTCAAGTAAGCATCGAACTTATCACGCTAATCTGCAAGATTCGATTTTTGATTGTCATTCTACAGCTTAATATAAAAGTAGGCAGGGTACTCCGAGGGGTGGAGCGATGAATAATCACGGGTGCTGAGAAAAAAGGGGTTGATAACGGCGTTTATTATTATTACTAATTTTTGTTTAGTACATTGCTTTACCTGAGACGTCGGGTAAGGCAAGGTAGTAAGAAACCAGAGACGTCTGGTAAGGCAAGGTAGTAAGAGACCTGAGACCTCGGGTAAGGCAAGGTAGTAAGAGACCTGAGACCTCGGGTAAGGCAAGGTAGTAAGAGACCTGAGACTTTGGGTAAGGCAAGGTAGTAAGAGACTTGAGACGTCGGGTAAGGCAAGGTAGTAAGAGACCTGAGAACTCGGGTAAGGCAAGGTAGTAAGAGACCTGAGACGTCAGGTAAGGCAAGGTAGTAAGAGACCTGAGACCTCGGGTAAGGCAAGGTAGTAAGAGACCTGAGACCTCGGGTAAGGCAAGGTAGTAAGAGACCTGAGACGTCGGGTAAGGCAAGGTAGTAAGAGACCTGAGACCTCGGGTAAGGCAAGGTAGCAAGAGACCTGAGACGTCGGGTAAGGCAAGGTAGTAAGAGACCTGAGACCTCGGGTAAGGCAAGGTAGTAAGAGACCTGAGACCTCGGGTAAGGCAAGGTAGTAAGAGACCTGAGACCTCAGGTAAGGCAAGGTAAGAAAAGAGACCTGAGACGTCCGGGTAAGGCAAGGTAGTAAGAGACCTGAGACGTCGGGTAAGGCAAGGTAGTAAGAGACCTGAGACGTCGGGTAAGGCAAGGTAGTAAGAGACCTGAGACGTCGGGTAAGGCAAGGTCGTAAGAGACCTGAGACCTCGGGTAAGGCAAGGTAGTAAGAGACCTGAGACCTCGGGTAAGGCAAGGTAGTCGCAAGGCAAAGAGACCTGAGACGTCGGGTAAGGCAAGGTAGTAAGAGACCTGAGACGTCGGGTAAGGCAAGGTAGTAAGAGACCTGAGACGTCGGGTAAGGCAAGGTAGTAAGAGACCTGAGACGTCGGGTAAGGCAAGGTAGTAAGAGACCTGAGACCTCGGGTAAGGCAAGGTAGTAAGAGACCTGAGACGTCGGGTAAGGCAAGGTAGTAAGAGACCTGAGACCTCGGGTAAGGCAAAGTTGTAATAGACCTGAGACCTCGGGTAAGGCAAGGTTGTAAGAGACCTGGAGACCTCAGGTAAGAAAGGCAAGGTAGTAAGAGACCTGAGACGTCGGGTAAGGCAAGGTAGTAAGAGACCTGAGACGTCGGGTAAGGCAAGGTAGTAAGAGACCTGGAGACGTCGGGTAAGGCAAGGTAGTAAGAGACCTGAGACCTCGGGTAAAAGGCAAGGTCGTAAGAGACCTGAGACCTCGGGTAAGGCAAGGTAGTAAGAGACCTGAGACCTCGGGTAAAGGCAAGGTAGTAAGAGACCTGAGACCTCGGGTAAGGCAAGGTAGTAAGAGACCTGAGACCTCGGGTAAGGCAAGGGTAAGAGACCTGTAAGAGACCTGAGACCTCGGTAAGGCAAGGTAGTAAGAGACCTGAGACGTCGGGTAAGGCAAGGTAGTAAGAGACCTGAGACGTCGGGTAAGGCAAGGTAGTAAGAGACCTGAGACGTCGGGTAAGGCAAGGTAGTAAGAGACCTGAGGACCTCGGGTAAGGCAAGGTAGTAAGAGACCTGAGACGTCGGGTAAGGCAAGGTAGTAAGAGACCTGAGACTCGGGTAAGGCAAGGTAGTAAGAGACCTGAGACCTCGGGTAAGGCAAAGGTAGTAAGAGACCTGAGACCTCGGGTAAGGCAAGGTAGTAAGAGACCTGAGGACCTCGGGCAAGGCAAGGTAGTAAGAGACCTGAGACCTCGGGTAAGGCAAGGTAGTAAGAGACCTGAGACCTCGGGTAAGGCAAGGTAGTAAGAGACCTGAGACCTCGGGTAAGGCAAGGTAGTAAGAGACCTGAGACGTCGGGTAAGGCAAGGTAGTAAGAGACCTGAGACCTCAGGTAAGGCAAGGTAGTAAGAGACCTGAGACGTCGGGTAAGGCAAGGTAGTAAGAGACCTGAGACATCGGGTAAGGCAAGGTAGTAAGAGACCTGATACCTCAGGTAAGGCAAAGGTCGTAAAGAGACCTGAGACCTCAGGTAGTAAAAGGCAAGGTGGTAAGAGACCTGAGACCTCGGGTAAGGCAAGGTAGTAAGAGACCTGAGACGTCGGGTAAGGCAAGGTAGTAAGAAACCAGAGACGTCGGGTAAGGCAAGGTAGTAAGAGACCTGAGAACTCGGGTAAGGCAAGGTAGTAAGAGACCTGAGACGTCGGGTAAGGCAAGGTAGTAAGAGACCTGAGACCTCGGGTAAGGCAAGGTAGTAAGAGACCTGAGACCTCGGGTAAGGCAAGGTAGTAAGAGACCTGAGACCTCGGGTAAGGCAAGGTAGTAAGAGACCTGAGACGTCGGGTAAGGCAAGGTAGTAAGAGACCTGAGACGTCGGGTAAGGCAAGTAAGAGACCTGAGACCTCGGGTAAAGGCAAGGTAGTAAGAGACCTGAGACCTCGGGTAAGGCAAGGTAGTAAGAGACCTGAGACCTCGGGTAAGGCAAGGTAGTAAGAGACCAGAGACGTCGGGTAAGGCAAGGTAGTAAGAGACCTGAGACCTCGGGTAAGGCAAGGTAGTAAGAGACCTGAGACCTCGGGTAAGGCAAGGTAGTAAGAGACCTGAGACCTCGGGTAAGGCAAGGTAGTAAATACGTTCGTTTTGCACGAATTCTGATGTTAAGTAGATACTTAACATGTACAGTTTTTATGTTTCCTTTCCATTGATAATGCTCTCCTAACTAGATGAAACAAAAGATATCAAAAATTATCTCTGTGTTGAACACAGAGAAAATTTTTGGCGGCTTTTGTATTTTTGGTCAGCGTTTCCAAGGATCTTGTTAATGTGCTTGGCTGTATCTTTCTTGATCATATCAAGTTCTCCAATTATTATTGTAGGTACCTCCAAAGATTCGCTAAAAAATGAGCATATATGATGAAAAAATGCCTTAAACTTAATAAAAACAAAGTTTGATCGTTAAGAAAGGATTTTTGATCATTAGATTAAATTAGAATTAAATTTTTAATCCTTTTAAAAACCTTCAAAATGTTGTTTATCTTATATCAAGAAGTGGCCATAAATTAGTATTTTGTATGGAAAATCATATCGGTTTGAAAATTCTTGTAAAAACGGAATAATTATCGCATTTTAATGAAAACTTTTGGGACTTATTCATAAATGAAGGAAATTACTGTTGAAATCTTTTTTATTTAAATCTTGGTAAAAGTATTTTTCCCCATCTACTGCCATCCACTTATTTAATTTTATGAAATTAAGTGAAATTCATTGTTGAAGAGATTATTGTTTATATTAGTTAAAAGCACAAGTCCATGGAGAATTTAAATCATCAAATTTTTATTTTTTCTCAAACTGGACCCCAAATTAAAGATAATGTGCTCTGAATCGTAAAATAAAATAAAAAAATCAATAAAACTAACACATTATTTAATTAGAAATGTTCTTAATTGCTTTTATAAATAAGGTATATTATGGACACTATTGTCTTCAAAAACAATTTTTCGATAATTTTTTACAAGAATTTAAAAAATTCTTATGTATAAAAATGACTGTGTTACATCCTGCCAACGTGAGGCGGCAAGAAAATGCAAACGCTTTTTGACTAGGATCAAAGTGTAGCATCTGTTTTTTGCAGCTTATTCTGATTTTTTCTCTTTTCACTTCTTTCTTTCTTTCTTTCTTTCTTTTATTTTCTCATTGAAACCAAGTAGTGTCTTTCCCCCTCTTTTCCACGTGATCAAAACGGAATAGTCCATTATTTATGAGGTATTGGCAAGGCGGTCGTGCTAACTAACAAAAGAAGGGACAAGAATAATTGTAATAGAATTATTATTATAATTATTAAGTTTTATATTGTAAAACTGTGTTAAGATAATTTACTGTTTTATCTATAGTAAAGTTATAATATTTAATGTTTACTTCTCTGGTATTTCTGTACACAAAGTGATAAGTGTTGGGTTGCAGCCAGCTAGCCTTTGTCTTCCAAACCAGATATCGTCCGTCCATTTATCGACAGCCTGCGAATTACAACATTAAAAAACAATCATAAAGTAATTCTTAAGGACAATAAATTATTTCGTCCTTTGAAGTATTCTAGGATTCCTACTCATAAAATTTACTACACACTTTCTCTGTAATATTTATTGCAAGCATTCGAGTATTAGATATATCTTTAATGTTTATTGTTCGATTATAAAAAATAGAAATTTATTAAATTTAAGATTCTTTAGTAACAGCCATAATATAATTTTGATACAGCTTCAATAACGTGGTTTCATCAGCGATGGCCACGATGTTTGTGGCACGTTGTCGAATGAAAGCAAATAACACAGTTTAGTCACTTGATTTAAGTACACGTTAGAATTACATGGTTTGATAAAGAAAACGTATATAAGGAGAAAAGTCAGTCAGTCAGAGGCGGTGGTTGTTAAAACTTTGCTATCTCTCAGTGTGGCTGGTTGTGGCCAGAAGAAATTGGTTCTTTGTAGGACTTAAGAAGAAATTTCTCTAACCTCCCAATCTCTTTCTCTTCAACCAACTAATCATGGGTATAACAATAAACTACATCCGGTAGCAAGGACTCTGATTGAGAGGTTTTGAGGCGCGTGGAACCACCTTTTAATTGCTTTTGTTCCCAGGTTCACCATGATCCGAGGTGGTAGCACATGTCAGGGTCCCAGCTATGGGAAAATAGTGAACCCTCCCCAAACTGGGGTCAAAACATTATGAAAATACTGTCACATGAGCTGAAATGACCAATCAAAATACAAGTATACGAGAATTCGAAAAACTTGACAACGAAGTAAGGTTATAATAACTATTAAATGTTTTTTAAAGTTGGGCTTATACTAAAATAGAATTTATTCTAACTAATAAGTATTAAATTGTACGATAAAATTTGAAATTAAAATTAAAAACTACCCATTTCAAAAATGTAAATTTAATCTATATTAAGTTTAAAATTTTAAAATTATTGAGGAAAAAAGAAAAAATACATATGTTATTCTATTCATTTCGTTTCTATTGAAATTACGTTGGAATAAACGTTAAGATCGACTGCCCTTAACTTAATGACAACATGGATACATGTGTAGACATGGGATTATGACATCTTGCGAAAGACAATACAAACACAATCAGATTATAATACATAAGCACGCAGACATATTTAGATATATACACACACAAAAAAGTGACGAGACAGGAAATATTTGCACGACCTTTTACAAAAAAAAAAAAAAAATTAAACCACACACATACACAATGAAATGTGCATGCAATTTACTATACAGCTCATGTAACAGCGTTTCCCTTTACGAGGGGTGATTAATTAATTTGAACCTTTTAAAACCTTTATTCTACAATCTACATTTAACATCATCACTTGATAAGACACCAGAGGTGTTGAAACAAAATAGCTATTTTTGTAGTGATTTTATAACATATTTATGCTATAATTTTAAATAAATAATTATATATATATATATATATATATATATATATATATATATATATATTTATATATATATATATATATATATTGTCATTTCACCACAATAAAGGCGATAATACTACTACGACGTCAGGGGATACTAGGAGTGAAAGAGAACGAGAAGACTTTAGAAGGAACCAGAAAGAAACGTAATCACCCACAAGGAACATGGGATAAACCATTACTCCTGTTTAAAAGACCAGGATGAGTGTGAACCGGGTGATAGGCGAACCTATTTACTCCTGTGTGTGTATGTGTATTAGAACGGGAGTTTTTCTTAAAATTCTATGTTTAATGAAGATTTTTTCATCTTTTTAAAATATCCTCTAGTTTGCTTGATAACATCTTTGACAAATGATTACAATGAGAAAAAGATACTTACGATTGGCAAAGTTCTTTTACTGTCGTAAATTTTTGTGATATCATCCAGGCAGGACCATTTATTTGGAACCAACTTTGCCAAAATGTTTCGAGCCATATTTTCAAGTTTCAGGAGAAAGAATTTTTTCTGTCAATTATAAACAAACAAGTAAATCACATGAAAAATTAAAGAAAAAAGAGTATAAGTAAAAAGTATTTGAATACTTGTGATGCTCCCCCGAATTATTTTCTCTAATGTGTGTGTGTGTGTGTGTGTGTTAGTGAGTGATACACTAGGCCAGTATAACTGTTCACTTTCTTTTAGAACATCAACATTATGCTCGGTGTGAAAGCTGGAGTTTGGGGTGATAAGCACTGATATCAAAAATTAGATTCGTAGCTATTACCAATATTTTATCATCTGGTTTAAAGTTCGTTTGAAAAATGTACAGAAAATATCTAATTTCCGCAGGTTTCTGCTTACAAACTGATTTTAAAATTTTACTATTTCAAGAATGAATCTAAATAAAGTTCATATTTTTGTATTAGATACATTGAATGGAAAATATATTCAAAGCAGAATTCTAATTACAAACCATAAACAAAATATGACATTACTGTATTCGATAAGTAAAAACTGGGGAAAAAATTGTAAAAGATTACAAAAAAAAAAAAGGCTACTCAATGAATAAGATTTGTTATAATTAATAATAATAAAAAAAAGATTAAAGTATATATAACACACTAATACTGCTGGGCACAAATTATAAGACAAAACGTTTTAAATTTGCATTGTATATTGAAAATCACACTAAAACTACAGTACTCTATAACATAAGCCATCATGTTTTTTGAACATCACCCTTTACAACACCCGGGGGCCACTCGAGATAGAGGTTTACGCTTGGAGGCCATTTGTGTGTATAGGAGTGGAAGATGGTCAGTCCTAGCCTTGAACAGGTTAAGATTGTAGTGATCGGGGAAACATCCTGTTGGGAATCGGCTCCACAGGTCAGTGGTTCACGGGAAGGAGTTACTAGAGTGGAACTTACTTCTCACCAATGTAATACGAAGGGAATGTAAGTGGTTTTCTACTATGTAAGTGGCATGGCGTGTTCTTGCTGTGAAGATTTGCCTCGGACAGACCAGGGAATGTAGTTTGTCTGAACACTTTCCGTGGAAGTAGCACTAGAGCAGTAAGAAGCTTGCCATATCACGTCTGTGGGAGAGAGGGTGAAATGTGGAGAATAGTTCTTCACCCTCAGGGGCTGAATGAAATCCCAACGCTATTCACAGGATATATGTACCCCTCCAATAAGTATCTGAATCCCCGCCATCTGCTATTCCATATCTTTACAAGGGTTAAATCAAACCTAAAATGGTGTATTGCTGCCATATCCGGACGGGAGCTGCTCAGACCTCACTGGCCTGTCTTGATAGAGTTGAAAAGCGTCTACGCGGCCTTGTGGGTGATGAATTATTTTCCACTCTACAACCACTTTCCTACAGACAAAAAGTTGCGAGCCTCTCTCTATTCTACCACTACTTCCATGGCATGTGTTCTGACGACCTATGTTCATTAGTCCCACCACCCCTGACCTTTACAACTGGAACCCAGCATGCCACGCACACTAGGGTGAATCGCCCCAATCCCTTCATATTCCTATGGTAGATAAGTTCTACTCGGACAGCTTCTTCCCAAGAACTGCTGCTTTGTGGAACAGACTCCCGTAGGATGTTTTACCAATCTTGAACTCTCCTAGGGTTAATCGTTATATTTCCTACATGAACTTCACTTCTTGCCCTTTCTTACTTTCATACAACCCCACATAGTAAACCTCTACCTTGAATGCCTCCTGTGCCTTGTATTGGGTGAGCACTAATATAAAAATATAATCAAGGCAAGAAAGGTAGAGGAAAACAGTGAGTAACTACCTCAGGGATTTATATTAATGGGTGGCAGAAAAGTGACTGGGTGAGATAGTAAGGAGAAAACGTTGCAGGGTAGAAAGCTGTGAAGAGCTATAATCGTCCATGCCTTGAAGGGACAAGATATATTTTACATTTTACTCATTCAATTTTGCAGAGTGAGTGTGTTGTTAAGCAAGTATAGTGAAGTTTTGGCTGACAGTTTAAAAAGATACAGGGTGCAGCAGAAATACCACCCATATATACCACCCAGAAATACCTCCCAAATAATGGTAAGACATTAGCAACAGAAAGAGGCAGATAATACCTTCCATATTTTGAACTGTCGCCTGTGTGGTGCTAGTGAATTTAGGCAAGTGGCAATGGTGTCTTCACCTGGCTAATGTCTTACCATTATGTGGGAAGTATTTCTGGAAGGTATATGTGGGCTGTATTTCTGTCACTGTAGTCAATATCATACCATTATGTGAGAGGTATTTCTGGGTGGTATATGTGGGAGGTTTTTCTGTTGTATTCTGTATTAAAAGGGAGCACTTATTTTTCTTTTATGACTAATAATCTTTCAGAGTTTTTTTTGTGAAAAATGCAAGGATCACAACATGAATGGATTCTAATTTCCCTCGCAATTTTAAGGTGAGTCATTATAACCCCAAGAGTTGATCAGACACCCGTGCTCTTTCATTTTGCCGATTTTATTTTTACCCCAACTTTTCGACCAGTAGGGATTTCCTAAACATAGCCTGGTAGATAAATGTGTCGATAAAATTTTCAATTAGTACCCTGAATGTTACTCTGTTAAAAATTGACAATGAATAACTTTTTTTTTGAGTCTAGCTTTTGTGTTTTATAATACTTTCGTTGCCTAAGTGCATTTTCTTTATATGTGTAAGCCTATCTGAAAATTCCCTGTTCCATTACGCAGTGTTAGATGGTGGCTGTGTAAGTGCTACCAGAAATAACACCATGATCACATCTGCTATCTGATAATATTGTCGAAACCACTGTCCAGCATGCAACCTGGTGAGCTTTTACTGTTCGGCTACGGATGTCCAGACATTAATTAAGCAGACGTTAATTTCATTGGTCTTCTATGTGCCGTGTCACTTCTTGACATAGGCGATCGTGGCTCTCCGATATTTCTATCCTTTGTGCTCCTTGCAATTTTTTCCCTTTTGCCATGCCTCCCGTCCAGGGTTTCGTAATCAATTCACACAGAGAAACGAACAGGACATAGTTTTCTTCAATAAGCTTTCTCGAATATTCAGTCCGCCAGAAGAAAATAAATACATATACTGTTTAGTAAATAAACGGAACGACTACTTAAATATGGGTATCAATTAAAAATAACGTTTTTAAATAATAATAATAATAATATATATATATATATATATATATATATATATATATATATATATATATATATATATATATGTGTGTGTGTGTGTGTGTGTGTGTATGTTACTTGGAGGGTTGGGTACCTCCGAGTAAATGCCATTTCCAGCGAAACACCCGAAAGAAACCAGTTTACTATCTCGCTGAAGTGGGATAATTTCATTTTCTGATTTACGAGTACAACCTTTTATTGAATAAATAATTATTATTTTAGTAGCCTATTAGTATTTACAAAGTTTGGTCTTGTCTGGCACAAGATCAAGTTGAGAGAATCAGCCTAGAACAAGTATGTTGTGCTATTCTTTTAAGTGGCCAGGGTCTGTCCTTAAAATCAGCATTCTAAATTATGGCTTTTTCATGGTTCGAACACCGACTACAAAAGTCAGGGGGAAAGAGGCAACAACATCTGCCAAAAGGTTAAACCATTCTGATCGCTTCTGCTAAAGCTTAAGTCACTCACGGGACAAACAAAAGATTTCTTATTACCTTATATTCATTAGTGAAGTCATCGTCTTCGGGTAATGTTTCTAACTGCAATAAAATCAAAAAATATTAAAAAGAAAAGAAATTATAAAAGAAAGAAATGTTTGAATTTGAAATTTGAAAGAGTGAATCGAATGAAAAGCAAAATAAAAAATAGAATTAGAAAAACGGTTAAATTTATAAAAGATCGAGTTACAATTCTGTTAATCTCACTCTCTCCCCACACAACACGTGTATATATATATATATATATATATATATATATATATATAGGGTGTACCAAAGATTGTGATCATTTAAAATGTGAATATCTGAGTAACTACATGTCCCAGGCAAACGAAATTAAATTGGTTTCATGTTGAACAATAAAAACACAAAATGCGCGCCCCCTGTGACACGTCAAGTCGGTGATCCAGCTCCTGCCAAACACGCTGTAGCATGTCTTGCGTAACATTCTCCAGTGCTTCAGTGATTCTCTGTTCAAGTTCCTCTATGCTTGTAGGAAGAGGGGGATACAGACCTGTCCTTTTAAATAGATCACATAAAAAAATCACAAGCTGCCAAGTCAGGTGAACGTGGTAGCCATTTCAACAGCACATTGTCATTATCACTGGCACGTCCGATCCATCTTCCTGGTAGCTTCTTATTGGGATAAGTTCGCCATGAGGCTCTGGAGAATGTTACGCAAGACATGCTACAGCGTATTTGGCAGGAGCTGGACTACCGACTTGATGTGTGTCGTGTCACAGGTAGTGCGCATATTGAGCATTTGTGAAGCTTTGTGAAACCGGTTATAAAATCTTTTTTGTTTTTTTTAAGAAATAAATCTTTTATTGTTCAACATGAAGCCTATTTATTTTCGTTTTCCGGGGACATGTAGTTACTCAGATATTCACATTTTAAATGTAATGTAATTTTTATTTGGTGGGGGGCACCCTATATATATATATATATATATATATATATATATGTATGTATGTATGTGTGTGTGTGTCTCTGTGTGTGTGTAATGAACCTCCAGTCGATTTCAATGTATGAGGTTCCAACAGAGTTCAGATTATTTGGTTACTTATAGCGATAAAAACTTGTGCAGATTCAGCCTGGCTTTTGAAAAGAACTGATAACAGAGAAATTGGAGACATGAAGTCACCAGTCTTTCTCAGATTGGGATTCAGTGATTTCCTTCTGCTAGATTGGTTAATAACCAAGAAAAGAGAATCCAATCTACTCTGTTATTTAACCTATAGCTGTAAAAATATGAAGTCATACATTTTCCATCGGTGGCGATAACTGGTACATAAATTATACACACATTCAGTATAACTATATCTATGTATGTGTGTGTATGTGTGTTTGTATGTGTGTGTTCGTGTCAGTTTGTATATTATTGTTTAGTTACTTATTTGTCTATCTGAACCGAAATGCCAAAATTAGAAACTGGTTTGCTTCACTGTTACACATTTGTAAAAACGGACACATTTTTCTAAAAAACTAAAGATCATGGTAAAAAAAAAAAAAAAAAAAAAAAACTTGATAAAAATAAGGTTTTATTGTCAAAATGTTTATGTTATTATTAAGAGGAAAGGCCAAAATCGTTTTTTGATTAGTTCATTAAATTTTAAAATCCTTTTTGCACGGTCGAAATTTTTCTTAATCAGTGGCCAGACCAAAGCTCAGTATATGAAATTTAGCGTCTTTTTGCGGTAAAAAAATATATATATATTGTTTTGGAAATTCTTCCAAAAATTAAATAATTGGTGGATTTTAGTGAAATTTTCAGAACTTATTCACAAATGAATGAAATCATTTTTGAAATTTTTTATTAGAAAAATCGGTAAAAATATATATATTATTTTTTTTACATCTCTTACACCCACTTGCATAATTTTATGAAATTTCTATAAATTAAAATTCCCGGGTGTTTGTATTTAAATTAGTTAAAATCAGGACTCCTTGAAGAATTTAAATCATCAATTTGTTTTTGTCAAACAAAATTACCATTAACCGAACATTTCTGAAATAAAAAATGCAATAAAACTATGAGATTATTTAATTAGAAAAACTTTTAATTGCGTTTATAAATAAGATATATTAAGGACACTATTGTCTTAAAACATTTTTTTTCAATGAATTTTTTTTAATTTCAATTAGAAATTTATTTTAAGTTTTAAATCTTTTAACATTCTGTATTAATTTCAGCCATTTAGATGATATTGTCATTCAGTGAAAATTAAATTTACTAATCATAAATGGAAAGGCACAATATATATGAATAATATTTGTTTCAAATCAGATTAATTATTCTTTAAATCAGCTAATATTGCTCATATAAAGTTTCAGAAAAGTATATTTTATTTTTGGAAAACTTCTTTTGATAAATATAATTACATTGCGATGAAAGATGACGAAAAAAGGCGCTAATCAGATATATTAGAAAAAAAAAACTCCTTCCAGTCAATTTAAATTAGTTTTAAATTAGATTTTGAAATACAGCAAAGTATTTTGCTTATTGAAAATATTCATTTTTATCTATTAGCTTGAAATTAAAGCTAAAATAAAAGTATCAAGAAAGGTTTTTAAAAATTCATTTTAAACCTTAGGTATTGTTTTTTTTTCTTTTTCTTTTTGGAGGTACCTACGTATATGTGACGTAAGAGTTAAAAAGATAGTGTAGCTGTGGCATTAATTCAATGCTACTGCCTCCCAACAGGGGTGTCATTATGGACAACGTCGCACCGATCATTCATCAAGGAGAGCGAACATCGTCATTGGATTGTTAAAGACTCGCACCATATAACCTATTCAAACGAATCACATTTCCATCTCCCTCGGGCCGATAGCCGAGTTCGTGCGTAGAGGAGACCGTATGAGTCTATGGGTCCAGCCTGTTAACAGAGTGTTGCGCAAGTAGCTGGTGTTTCTGTAATAGTGTAGGGTGGGTTCTTTTGGAGTTCGCCAGGGTCAGTGGTGAAAATGAAATCTATTTTGATAGTTGCAACATAAACAGAACTCGACACTAGTTCCAAGAACATTTAGCTGAACGACAGGTAGTTCATTTGACACCTGCCGTCCGCCTGTTTTAAAATCAAATCTATTGAAGATCCCACTTTCAGTTAGATCCAATACATACAACTGATTTTTGGGCAACAATGAAAGGTGCTTGGATATAACCAAACAACAACCTCAGCGCCTCGTAGACTCCGTGCCACGTCAATCAACCGCTGAGACACATTATTATTTTGTTGTACTTAATTTATTTGGTTCTTCAGTTTATCGATTTCAGTTGAAATCTTTACTTCTTTCTATATCATTCTATTTATCATTCAGTATTTAAGTACTGTCAGATGTTGTTTTCATCTCCTTTTGCCTATACCAGTGAATCTATCTTTTTTATTTAACCATTTCGCCTCGCACAAGGCAATAAAGCCACTAAGACGAAAGAGCATACTAAAGTGGTAGGGAATATGAAAAAAACCCACTATTAAGGAGAGAGAGAGAGAGAGAGAGAGAGAGAGAGAGAGAGAGAGAGAGAGAGAGAGAAAAGAATTAAGAAGACAAAAGATGACGAATGTCATTGCATTTAAATTTTTTGAAGATCAAAGTTGACGGGAAAGAAAGAAACAGGAAAAGAATTCTACACGTGAGAAGTGCGGTAGAAGAAACTGTTAGCATAGAACTTACGGTTACATCTAGCCATTTCAACTATAAAATGGTACAACCTTGTTGTCAATCTAGCATTGCGCTTACATTCATAGAGTATAGGTAGCATAGAGGAAAGTTTATCAGAACAATTACGATGAAAGTATTTATATAAATTGCTTAGGGAAGCTACATTACGTCGGTGGTAATGTGACTGAAGCCGAGATGCCAGGTCACATCAGTAACAGTCCAGATTCTTTGGATTTTATCAAGAACTTCTAAATATGTAGCAGGGGCACCTGACAAGATGTGGAAGCAATATTCAAAACATGGACGAATTGTAGACTTATAAATATGCAAGATAGATTATGGAGAGACAAATCGTCTAGCATGACACAATGAACCAACTTTCCTAGCAGCATACATAGCAATTGAGTCAATATAATCTTTCCATTTCATGTCAGCAGAAAACATTAGCCCGAGAAGGTTCAATGAGTCACTCTCCTAGAGGTTAGCATCAGCCAGGCTTATAGAAGGAAGAAAGGAGTCTCTCATATGATTTATAGAAAACAGTTTAGTTTTTTATGGCGATAAAATTAACACGCCATTCCGTATCCCTGTTAATTGTAGGGGGAGATACATGATGATTCATTTTTGAGATCAGCCACCAATTTGACCATATCGAACTGATTAAAATGACTATTAAAACAGGAGTAAGTAGTTGTGTCATCAGCATAGATACCGAATTGAGAACTGATGACATCAGGATGGTCATTGATGAAAATTATGAACAACATAGGTTCAAGGACAGAGCCCTGGGGGACGCCTGCATTAATGCAGAAAGATCTAGAAGATGGACGTTCAGGACAACTTTCATTCACGCGATTTGATAAAAAGGACAAAATCAGTTTAAAATATTCGCCTAGAAATAACAACCGTCCTGGGTATGACGATAAACTACATACGGCAGCAAGTCCTCTGATTGGGAGGTTTTGAAGAGCGTGGAATCACCTCTTAATTGCTGTTGTTCCCAGAACCATCGTATTACGGGGTGGTAGCACCTGTTAAGGGTCCCAGATATGGGCAAATAGTTAACCTCCAAACTAGGGTCAAAACAGTATGAAAGTATAAAAATAGATTTTTATAGTCAACATACCAGCAATGTATTTAAAAAAAATACCAGCAATACAATTTTGAAAAAAAAAATACTAGCAAAACATTTTCTTGAAAAAATATTACCAGCAACGCATGTTTAAAAAAATATTGCCAGAAATACATTTTTGAAAAAAATATTACAGTGTAACCCGGATATAAGAGAGTTGTCGGGGTCGGAGAAGAAGTCTTTTATATCTGGGTTTCTCTTATATCCGGGTTTGGTCTATTTTGTTTAGGTAAGTATGGCTCTAATTTGGGATCAGAGAAAATCTCTCTTATATCCGGGTTTATCTTATATCCGGGTCTCTTATATCCGGGTTACACTGTATCAGCTATAGATTTGACTCTCGACATAAACCCTCTTTACAAAAATACGTCAATAAACCCTGATCTACAAACCGATTTCTTACAAAAAAATACATATTCTATTCATGCATATCCTAAAAATCTTGTCGGTATTAAATAACCAATTAAGGTACTGATAGACTGTAAACCAAAATAAACCAATAAATAATCCAAACCAGAAATCCCATGACCATAATCTATCTAAAACTAAAATAATAAATAGATTGATCCTCTATAAATGTGCATCATAACTTACCATAATCGGCAGACCGGGAACATCTTTCGGTGTGTATTTTTGTTGAATAAATTCAACTTCTTTCAGACGTTGCTCTTTGTTGGGGTCAAACTGTGGAAGGAATGTATCGAAGGTATATAAACGATAATGGCAATCAGCTTCGATCCATCGGAATACCGGGAAAATCGTCTTCTCTTCTCGGTCGACAAGTTCCAGTTGGATTTTCTCCACGTACCAATCTGGTGAGATTCCAGAACTGTCCCGCCAGAATTCAATCATCGTTACCGAACCGAAGTTGGCCGGTAGTGTGATCTTAAATCTGTCTATTGTTCCTGCTCGGAAGTTCTCTCTGAATAACTTTTCCAATTTGAAAGGACCAGTCGTTTGTATCAGTCGGTTATAGAGAACGAGAAATACATTAGCATTTGACGATGAACCTTTCTTTTTGCCTGTTTTTACATACACGTAGCAGACGATTTCAGCCATATTGTACAAACTCGATCAAAGCAAATCTACATAAAAAAAGACAAAGACAAAAAATTACTTACTATACAAAATAATAGGTTAATGTATCATCCTAATTACTAATCATACGTGACAATTATGAATAAATTTGAATAAATATTTGCCATGCAAATCCTACCTTAAATTTTGCACGCCACTCACAGCGTACACAGTGGATTAATTGTGTAATGGCCGCCTTACAATTAACAAGAAAACAAAAGTGGAAGTGACGAAACAATAAATGGGAATAAACATGGTTGAGATAAGTAAAACGGCTTTTTATTTCCCCGTAATCTACAAGGTTCGATCGTTTGCCTGTTCCGGGGTTTATATATCAGTCGTGGGAGGCTGAGAGTTCGTTCGGGGTATACACAAAGTAGAAATCGATATTGATTCGTGGGAGAAAATCGCTATTGATGGAAGCGTCTTGGTGTCTCTATTGCCGTGGGGGTACGTCGCTAATGTCAGCCTGGTCGGGTCGGTTTCCGTGGCTGAAATCAGCTACTGGGAAAACTGTGTGGGCATCTTCTGATTGGTCAGAAATGATGTTTTATGACTCTGGTATTTTGGGTTTTTATTCCGGAGCCAGACAAAATTATTTTTTTTTGTCATATGAGCTGTGGATGTCGAAGTGAGCACTTCCGTTCGATTTAAAGAACTGGAGTTCTGAACGGGCGCGGCAATGGAATAATTCGATCGTGACGCAAGGACGCATACAGCAAGAATGATGCAGAAAAATAATTTGGAACTTTGTTCTACTCCCACTTAAACTTGCACCAACTGATTATCATCTTTTTCCGATCGTTGCAAAACAATTTGATCGGAATAACTTTCCCTAATTCAAACCAGATGCAATAGTTCAACAAAAGTTATTCCCATCAAAACTTGCAGAATCTTACTCAAAAGGGATCGAAAATCTGACCAAGATTTTGAATGATTGATCTGTTTAACGGTATATCAACAGCTTATGGATCATTTAATGCCGAAATTTAATTTTCTTGTGAGCTTTGATGTAATAAAAATATGATATATATTATTCTGCTTTCACAATTGCATACATGGTAGATGATACTCAGCTTTTGTGCATATGCCTGTTTGTGTGGACTAGAGGCGGTGATAAATGTGTTTTAAGTTGTAATTTTGTTGAAATTTATATTTTGGAATATAGTTTGATTTCTTTAAGTAACTGTAGGATATTATATGGATTAATGCGCTGAAAGAGTTCTTTCATGGTTGTTTCGTTGATTTTATTTAGCGGCATATCAGCCTCTATGGATTATTTAATACCGAAATCTAAATATTTTGAAAACAATTTTATGGCTTCGACTACAGATAAAATGTATTGTTGGTCATTTTGCTATAAAATGTATTGTTAGTAATTCTGCTTTAAAACTGTATCGTTGATAATTTTACTATAAATTTGTGTCGTTGGTAACTTTTTTATTTAAAAATGTATTGCTGATATTTTTACTATAAAAATGCATTTTTATACTTTCATAGTGTTTTGGGGGTTCACTATTTACCGATACCTTGGATCCTAACTGGTGCTACCACCCTAGCACAAGGTAAACCTGGGAACAACAATTAAAAGGGGTTTCCACGCTCCTCGAAATGTCCACTCTCCTGATCAGAGGTCTTGCTGCCGAATGTAGCTTATCGTCATACCCAGGACTAAATTGGTCGAGAAGTGGCAACAAGTCATTACAAATAATAGTTAATATATAATTAAATAAAAATGTAATTGTACTTCATTTTCTGTAGAATAAATGTGATGAGCAAAAAAGGAAATTATTTATGACTCAACATATTAAAAAAAAAAGGAACAAATTTACAAAAAACATTTAAAACAATCTCTGCCATTTATATTCTTATCGGTACCTTTCTTGACTATACCCAGGGCTTCAATTATTATAAACAATTATTATTATGCGGTTAGATGTAACCGTAAGTTCTATGCTAACAGTTTCTTCTATTGTACTTCTTACTTGTGGAACTCTCTATCGGCTTCTTGCTTCCCAGTCAACTTTGATCTTCAAAACTTTAAATGCAATTTCAGTCGTTATCTTTTGTCTTCCTAATTCTAGTTCTTTTATTATTCAATCTCCTTAATAATATTTTTCTCATATTGTCCAACACACAGTAACCCCCTTGCGTCTTGGTGTCTTTATTGCCTTGCTTGAGGTGAAATGATTTAAAAAAAGAAAGAAAGTATAACAATAGTTAAGGTGCTTTATATTTACTTGTCATAATTTTTATCTGATTGCTCTACCATATTTATGAAAAGATAATCATTTCGTTTGGTCTCTAATCGGTATGTCTGCTCTATTAGCTTTTATATGTTTGTCGGTAAAGTTAGAAAGGTAAAGTTCTTATTTCATGTCGTTCTGTGATTGATTCGAGCTGATTTTCATACTATTTTTCAGCATGTCTTACACACTAATATCGACATATCTTCCAATGAATACACAGTACAATCTTATCATGCCGATCTTAACATTATTTCGGGGTTAGGATTGGACACCTAGACACCATATTGCCAATAAGTTCAACCAGGGCCGGTGCAAGGGTCTCATGATTCTACACCGAAACTATGATACACCCCACCGTCTTCTACATCTCAATTTTCATAAGGTAGTATTCATATAAAATAAAAATTCTATTGTAACCTAATTATGCATAATAATGAATTATATGCAATATAAGTGAACAATTCAACTAGAAAAATTTTAAATAAATACAATGTATCTGAATACAAATTAGAGACATGTCATAATAGATCATTCCATCTTAAATAAATCAATAATGTTTTATGGTAATTTTTAACATCAGCTTGAAATTTTTCTTGTTAAAAAGTTGAACATTTTTAACCCATTCAGCATTATAGATCAAAAATAGTAAATTTTATATGGTGTTTTTTCCGAGATTTAGCATGAGCATAAATAAATAATTAAATAAATAAATAAATAAAGAATTTTGACGAAAAAATACGTTAGAATGAAGTCAAAATCTGGGAAAACTTTTCATCCTTTAGTAGTCAGTTGCAAATGTTGATAAAATAGCGAGGGTCACAAAGCATTGCTCAGAGCCACCAATCTGGCGTAATCTACATATAGGCTCATTATTTTTTTTTTATTAAGCTTTCCTAGTAATATCCGGTGAATCGGTTTTGGCGTTCTGTGCAACCATTATAAATACCTCCTTCTCTATTTTTAGCCTTGCAGTCTTTAGTCACTGATGGCTTTGTGTTAATTTAAATCGGCATCGTTACTTATTGCCTGTGAAATAATTTTTGTACCAAATTATTATTTTTTAAATTGTTTGGCTTCTTTTAGCATTTTTTTTTTCTGATTTTAACTGCATTTGTTGGTTGAGTATTTTTATTTTTCCATCACAGGCTTTAAATTTATGTCAGTATTCGTTTTAATTATTTCTTGTCCATCTGTTGTTGATTTTCGTTGTATAACATACAGATTAAATGCCGAAACTTGACAAAACAAATTTCAGGTCAGTATTGTCAAAATTTTTAATTTAATGATTGAAAAAGTTTATGGCGAATTCTAAGACAATGAATATCAGTAGAAATTATTCTATTACATCGTTAAATATTTGATCTTACCAACTTTAACAAAATATTGCAATAACAAATGAATGCCGGTCGCTATTTTAAGAAAGGAGGAGATACAAATGAAAACATTTGAAATTGAAAACGTTTTGCATTTCACTAAAATAGACGTTAAGCACTTCTATTTTCATTTCTTTCTTTCATTTTATGACTGAAACCAAGTAGCGTCTATCTAGTCACATTTCTTGCTTGCTTTTTTTTTTTTTAACTGAACCCAAGTTACATCTCTGATACATCTTGTCTTTCTACTCGATCAAAGCAGAATAGTCCATTATTTATGTGATACTGACAGGACATAATGGTCGCCTGAACTAACGAAAGGATGGACAATCACAATTATTATATGATATTTAAAATATCTGAGCACAAAGAAAAGTATGATTAATGAATAAACTATTTATTGATGAACAAGACGGTTTCCATTTGCTTTTAAAGGAAATGGGGCGCTATTTGTGTAACGAAATATATAAGCGATAGAAACAGATGTCATAGATGGCTTTGTGATTACAAAACGAAGCTTTTGTTAAAGTGTAACACGTGTAAAAAGAACACGTGATCTGACATCTTTGGCACGCGCGCATAGTTTTATATAAATGCATACAATTGTCGTCTGCAAAAGTTTCCAGAGAACTGTATCTTCAAATGAGTAAACCATATTCACGTTTAATTTCTTTTTTTTTCTTTTTTTTTTTCATTAAAAACGAGTTTTCCGGGTCAGAGTTTCAGTGGTACAAGATTAAAGAACTCAATGCAGTTGTGTGCCACTGAAACCATCGTAATTATAATTCAACATTTTAATAGTAAAAAATGTATATAATTTACTTAGACAAAGATGTATAGAAAGTGCTATGATCTACGAGTCCCTTACAATTAATGTATTACCCATCCCATATATATATATATATATATATATATATATATATATATATATATATATATATATATATATATATGTTAGCTCTATCTCTGATATTGAGCGCTTTCTAATAAGTACCGCGCATATAATATATAAATAATTATACATATATATATTTATATACACTTTTCACACACACACACACACACACACACACACACACACACACACACACACACACACACACACACACACACATATATACATATATATATATATATATATATATACACTAAA